CTAGAATGCTTGGGTATCGATTGTTTTTTTCGAAGGCCATCAAATTTCGGGTGGTGATGTCTTGCTCCAGTATTGATGCTGTCCAGTATGAGATGGAGTCGTTGACGGTTTCCCTGGATGACGATAACTTCATTCCCGCTCGACTGTTCTGGCCCTGGTGGAAGTCTTCCTGGATCAGGACTACGGTGACTGAAGTAGGCAACTTCACGGTCCCGACTCTGGAACCCATCCCCGAGAAATCCCTTCAGAAGAAAGCTATGCGCAAGCTCAGAGGGCTTCGTGACCCCACTGTTCCCCTCCGCACCATGGTTCAGAGGGTGTCCAAGTGGGTGGGTCCCGACCGTTTTACGGTAGCTGACTTTCAGGTGCTTGCCCAGAGGATGCGTAAAGTTGAGAAGGACAGCACAATGCACCTCGTCACGGGGGTCCTTAGAGTGCTCTGCCGTGGGGTCTGTACCTCAAGTCGGCTGCATACCACGGTGGAGGGCTGTGCGTTTGGGTGTCCTCTGGAAGCGGCTAACGACGATCTGAGGCATTATCGCGTGTGCCCCGAGTTGAAGGCAGGGTTGATTGACATATTCCCCCGTGGTGGACCTCTGAGGTCTTGGACCGCGGCTCTGACGGGTGAGGATTTGCTCTTCACTCTTTGTTGTTTGGGGCCACAGTGGGGGCGGTCACGTGACCTAGTGGGGTGTGCCCTTATTGATTGCTTTCTGGCAGCGCATAATGCACGCAGGACTGGCTTGGTCCAGCCGGGGGAGTTTCTAATAGCAGCCAGGCTTCGGCAGTTGTCTCGTCGGCACCCCAAGCTTAATGGGGCGCTACGTGCGCTGCGTCCGACTGCTGCTGCTGCCGCCCCTCCCCCTGCTCCTCCTGCTCCTCCTGCCGTGCCACTCCTCCCTTGAGATGCCGTGTCCCCCCTTTTTTGTTTCCCTTTTCTTTGTGGCCTCCTAGGTATTGGTCCATGCATGATGCTGTCAGAGTGTGATGTGACCCTGGTGGGTCTCTCGGGTTGGCTGGCTGGTTTTCCGAGGTTTTTTACCTAACAGCTTGTTCTGATCGGTTTCTAGTAGGGTCAAAAGAGAGCAGCAGATGACTCCACAGGGGGGTCTGGGCGGGTGCCGGACAGGGTGCCGCAGAAGTCGTTTTAAGCCAACAGTCACACACTTCGTGCTCTTCGACCTCCCAGAACTCCATTCCCGGGCCACATTTTGAATGCCCGGAGCCAACTGTAGGCCACTTCGTGCTCTTCGACTTCCCAGAACTCCATTCCCGGGCCACATTTTGAATGCCCGGAGCCAACTGTAGGCCACTTCGTGGTCTTCGAGTTCCCAGAACTCCATTCCCGGGCCACATTTTGAATGCCCGGAGCCAACTGTAGGCCACTTCGTGCTCTTCGAGTTCCCAGAACTCCATTCCCGGGCCACATTTTGGATGCCCGGAGCCAACTGTAGGCCACTTCGTGTCTTCGAGTTCCCAGAACTCCATTCCCGGGCCAGATTTTGAATGCCCGGAGCCAACTGTAGGCCACTTCGTGGTCTTCGAGTTCCCAGAACTCCATTCCCGGGCCACATTTTGAATGCCCGGAGCCAACTGTAGGCCACTTCGTGGTCTTCGAGTTCCCAGAACTCCATTCCTGGGCATGATTTTGAATGCCCGGAGCCAACTGTAGGCCACTTCGTGGTCTTCGAGTTCCCAGAACTCCATTCCCGGGCCAGATTTTGAATGCCCGGAGCCAACTGTAGGCCACTTCGTGGTCTTCGAGTTCCCAGAACTCCATTCCTGGGCATGATTTTGAATGCCCGGAGCCAACTGTAGGCCACTTCGTGTTCTTCGAGTTCCCAGAACTCCATTCCCGGGCCACATTTTGAATGCTGAGGCAGGCTGAGGCTGAGGCTGAGGCAGGCTGATGCTGAGGCAGGCTGAGGCTGAGGCTGAGGCTGATGCAGGCTGAGGCTGAGGCAGCCTGAGGCTGAGGCCGAGGCTGAAGGCAGACTGAGGCTGAGGCTGAAGCAGGCTGAGGCTGAGGCTGAGGCAGGCTGAGGCTGAGGCAGGCTGAGGCTGAGGCTGAGGCAGGCTGAGGCTGAGGCTGTGTCTGTGACTGCCGTTGCCACTGCGACTGTCATCGCGAATGCGACTACGACTGCGAGAACAGCACAATTCTACAACTGGATTCTCATCTGAATCTTAAGGGGAATGCTTCCAGATATGCTCCTACACATCGCTGTTAGGTTGCTTTGCCGGGATACTTTCATGATGTTGTGCTTTCTTGGCGCTCTGTTACGTTTTTTGGTTAATTCAGGGCCCCGTGTTGTCGCCAGGGTTGTGGGCGCTGCTCGGTGCTCATTGTGACCCTTTCCGCTTGCAGGTGAAGATGGTGAGGTGCAGCTTTGTGTGTTCCTTTGGGAGAGGCATGCTGACAGATGGGTTGGCCAGCCCGCGAGAGAGAGTGCCTCTCTTGCCGCGCCGCCGCCCCCCCGCCTCTCTCCCGCCGCCCGCCCAGCGGCCGCCCCGCCTCTTTTGCCTGCCAAGCCTCTCTTGCTGTCCTTGAACTTCCACAGGTTCTCGGACGGGCGGAACGGTCTGGTTCGTTCGTGCGTCGATTGATTGTCGCTCCTGTAGGGTAGGCAGGCCTTCCCGCGACGCCAGCCGTGGCGCATCCAGACACCCGTTGCGTCTGGCGCGGTGGAGGTCCGCCCCCTCCGCCGCGCCCTGCCGTTGCCCTCAGGTTCCCGACGAAGTTCGAGGCGCCCCCGCAGCCGCTCCGCGCGAGGGCGTTCCCCTCTCGCCCTCAGGTTCCCGACGAAGTTCGAGGCACTTTGGAGGCCAGCTGTCTTGTTGTCCCTTGTTCGATGTGTTGGGGTCTCGTTTCTGGGGCGTGCCCCTGTTGTCTGCTTCTGCCTGCTGCGCTGTGGGTTGGGCCCTCGGTCAGCCGAGGAGTGAGCGTGGCATGGGAAGGATGCTCGAGTGTGTGATCCCCTTTTGGACGGTGTGCCTTGGGGGGGGGGGGGGGGGGCGCGCCCGCCAGGGATCCTGTGCACTCCGAGCAGGGTGCCCGCCGCCGCCTCTGTTTGTTCTGCCCCTGCTGCTGCTCCTCCCCCGCCCTTTGCATGTTAGATTGCACGGTGCCCAGTGCTCGCTGACAGAACGGACCTGACACATGGATTTGGTGTGTGCGCCAGCGGTGGGGGAACAATAAACTCGCCCATCGTCCTTCTCCTCCTTCTCCTTTCCGTTTCCTCCGCTCTGCAGCAGCTCAAAACCAAGAGTGCGCAGTGTTTGGCGCCCTCGGAACAAGGGCGCGTTTTTTTTTTTTTTTTTTTTTTTTTTTTTTTTTTTTTGTTTTTTTTGTTGTTGTTTTTTTGGTCCCCGTTGTTTTGTCAAGGGAACGCTGCGTATTTTTGGTTATTATATTTTCTTTGGTTTTGGAAGCTCAAGTGCTCCCCGCGGCCTCCCCCCCAGCACCTCCTCCTTCTCCCCCTTCCTCTTTCTCCTTCCCTCCTCATCCCTTCTTTTCCTCCTTGTTGTAAACGAGAAAACCAATAATGCGCGTTGTTTGGCGCCCTCGGAGCAAGGAAACGTTTTTTTTTTTTTTTTGTTTGTTGTTGTTGTTGTTGTTCCCCGCGGCCTCCCCCCAGCACCTCCTCCTTCTCCCCTTCCTCTTTCCCCCTCCTTCTCCTGCTTTTCTGCTATCCTTTTCTCCTCCTTGTTGCAACGCAAGAAAACCAAGACTACACAGTATTTGGTGCCCTTGGTGCAAGTTTTTTTTTTTTTTTTTTTTTTTTTTTTTTTTGTTTTTGTTTGGTGAGGGGTCTAGGCTGCAAGACAGTATTTTTTTGATTGTTTTTGTTTGTTTATTTGTTTTGATGTTGGAGGTCCAGAAGAGACGGAGGGGGAGGTGCTGGGGGGGGGGGGGGGGGGCAGCGGGGAACACTTGATCTTCCAAAACCTCAAAAACCAAACTCACCAAACATACACCTTGTTTCCTTGCATCCTAGACCAGGAAAACAAGACCAACCAAACATGCACAGCGCTTCCTTGCACCAAAGGCGCCAACCACTGTGTATATTAGGTTTTCTTGTATTGCAGCAGGGAGGGGGGAACTAAAGGAGTAGGAGGGGGAAAAAGGAAGGGGCCACAGGAGGAGGCGCTGGGGGGGAGGCTGCGGGAAGCACTCGAGCTTCCAAAACCCCAAAACTCCAATTAACCAGAACTACACAGTGTTTCCTTGCATCCTAGACCAGCAAAAAACATAACAACCAAACATACACATCGTTTCCTTGCTCCGAGGGCGCCAAACACTGTGTATTTTTTGTTTTGCAGCAAGGAGGAGGAAACGAAAAGAGGAGACTGAGGGGGCAAGAGGAAGGGGGAACAGGAGGAGGTGCTGGGGGGGGAGGCCGCGGGGAGCACTTGAGCTTCCAAAACCCAAACAATCAAACTAACCAAACATTCACAGTGTTTCCTTCCATCCTAAACAAAAAACAAGAAAACACAAACATACAGTGTTTCCTTGTTCCGAGGGTGCCAAACACGGTGTATTCTTGGTTTTGCGTTGCTACAGAGGGTGGAACGTAAAGGAGAAGGAGGAGAAATAGGATGGGCGAGGAGCAGGAGGGATTGTGTTTAGAGAAGGAGGAAGGAGAAAGGAGAAAGAGAGCGAACGGAAAAGGAGGAAGAAAAGGAGCGGATAAGCAGAGAGAGGCATGATCTTGGATGGGGGGGGGGACCACACACATACATATATATATATAAAACATGTATACATGTATACATGTATATATATATATATATATATATAAAAATATATATTTATGTATCTCTCTCTCCCTCTCCCTCTCCCTCTCTCTCCCCCTCTCTCTCTCTCTCTTCGTACGCCTGTAGCATCAGTCGCCGATGGGATTGTGCGATCGTCGTAATGCCGTGTTCTTATTCGTCGCGTCTTGCGCCCAGTCCTGATTTTGCATTGCCTTCTCTTTATCTTTTGGTGATGCATTGATCTCGAGGCTGTTTGCGTCAAGTTGCAGGGGGGCACCGCAGTGGCCAGAGGGTCGCACGCGACTCAAGGATCATGCGTAAAGGCATGGAGCCGTTCCGCATGGCGCCGCTGCTGAAAGCACCCGAGCTGAAAGTCGAGAGCATGGCCTGCATGGATGACTGCCTGTACGTGGGCTGTTCCGACGGCAGCCTGGTTCAGTTCAGGACCTCCTGGCCGAGCGCTTCGCCAGCGGGCTGCCCGGCTGCCGCGACCGACAGGTCCAAGGTGCAGCTGTCCAGGACGGCCTGGGGATGAAGAGGGATTCCATGATGAGCACCCCGCCAGTGCCATCCGGGCAGACAGCATGCTCCAACCCTTAAGTCTAGCGTGTGCCTCTAGAGGAGGATTATCCAAAAATGGTCAAAGAATAGTAGGGGGACGATTTGTGAACATTTTTGAACATTTTTGAGCATTATTTGATTCTTTTTGAATTTTCGTCCACTGTCCGCCTGTAGGGGGACGTGTCCGACCTAAGATGAAGAGGGATTCCATGGTGAGCACCCCGCCGATGCCATCCCTGCAGGCAACACGTTCCAGCCCCCCGCGCACGCCGCCGCCGGTGCCCCCAAAAACGGCTCCCCCCGGCGCCCCGACGGAAGCTGGCCGTCGACCCATCCCCACGGGGCACGCGACATCGGGGTCGAAGTAGTGAGATGCTCGGACATGCGGCTGGGCTGTTGATCGGCGGCGGGCGAGGGGGGGAAGTGAGAAGGAGGACACCTTCTCTTATCGTGCGAAGAGCGGCATATGATAAACGTTTTCGCTGTCGGGGGCGCCTGTTTTAGGGCGGCTGGAAAGTTTTTACTTTGATGGTGGCACGTCAGGGTGTAAACTTTCCAGCCGCCCTGGGGCAGCGCCCCCCCGGCGACGGAGAAGCTTAGTCTATACCGTTCTTCGCCCGCTGAGTCAGTCCCTTGGTTTTCTGAGAAGTTTTCTAAGCCTTCCCCGAAGACACAGGGCAGTTTTTCAGAAGGCGCGGGGGCCTCTGAGAAGTCCCGCCGCCTTCTGAGAAAGCCTTCTCCTTCTCACTTTCCCCCCTCGCTCGCCGCGGCTGGTGCTATTGTCGGGGAAACGCAATGCTCGAGTACGTCGGGACTCGAGCTTGCCGACGCTTTTTGACGAGCGCGTCCTGGATTGTGACGGTCCAGTTCTCGTGGGATGTCTGCAGCGGGAGCTCGCGCCAAATTCCAGGGTGGGTCTCGTCGTTTTCATGATGGCCCCATCAGGCCAACCCAAGTCCCCTGAACCCGAGTCTCACAGTGAAAACCTCTGCCAAGATGCGCCCTGCTTGCCTCCAGGGTGCCCTGGGGTTGTTGGGTCTCGATGGTTTTGGACTGGAAAGCGAGACCTTCCCTTGCCGACAATCAGGGGACGTCCTGGGGTCCTCCTCCTCCTCCTCCTCCTCCTCCTCCCCCTCCTCCTCCTCCTCCTTCTCCTCCTCCTCCTCCTCCTGCAAAGGAGGGTGGGGTTTCTTGTGGACGGTTTTTTGTTGTCGAGTGCCTGCTGTACGTCTCCCCGATACTGACGCTGGCCAGCCTTCGCCCCCCGCCGCCCCGCGCGCGCGCCCGCCGCCGCGCCCCCCGCCGCGCCGCCGCGCCGCCGCTCCCCCTTCGCCCCTCTCCTCCGCGCCCCCCCCCCCCCGCGCGGCCTCCCCTTGCCCTCGCATGCCCTCCCGTCCCCTCCCCCCTCGGCCTCGGCCTCGCCTCTCTCCCCTCGCCCTCGCTCCCCTCCCCTCCCCCCATTGCTCTCCCCTCCCCTCGCCCTCGCTCCCCTTCCCCCTCGGCCTCGAGTGTGCCGGAACTCGGGTCTGCCGGCGCTTTTTCACGAGCGCGTCCTGGATCTCGACGGTCCAGGTCTCGCGGGATGTCTGCAGCGGGAGCTCGCGCCAGAGTCCAGACCCGGCCTCGTCTTTTCCGCGATGGCCCCGAGCACGGCCAGCCCGAGAGTCCCCCTGAACACGAGCCTCACGTCTCCCCGATCCTCCCGCCTCGGCCTCGGCCTCGCCCCCCCGCCGTGCTCCTCTGCGCCCTGCTGATCATGCCGTGCTCCACGATGCATCGCGCACCCTCTCGGGGGATCAGTGCCCTGCTCGACATCCGACCGTGCGAGCAGAGAGGAGATCTACGCCATGGTAAGGGATGGGAGGGGTAGGACGCCAGATATGGCGCGAGCGCACCTAGCTTGCCCTCGCTCTCCTCCCTGCCCCCTCACCCACCCACCTATCCAACCCCGCCTCCCCCATCCCCTCGCGCGAAGCGACGACGGCCCACTGGAGCTGTCCACCCTCCGCGCCTCCCACCGGACGGAGGCGGGACGGACCCCCCTAACGCGGGACGACGCCGCAGCAGTCAGGACCTTCAGGCCCCTGCGCCCCCCGTGGGACAGCCCACGTCCACCCCTCTCCACGCGATCCCCCCCCCGACGCTCATGATGGAATCCAGAGTGAGGTAGATTCAGATAGGGATGCCTTCAAGAGAGTCTTTAAGAGGACGATCGTCTTTGGCTCGGAAGCGAGTTGGGGAAGATGAATGCAAACCGGGATAATTTAATCGCTTCGCTTATTCCGCCGGACCATTTCGCATCGCTGTGGCTGCGTGGTGGTGTGCTCCTGCCCAGGGGGAGAGCAGCACGATCTTCGAGGAGATCTGTGGAGATGTGGCTCGGACCCAGTCGAAGGGAGCCGTTAGACTGCCCCAGAGGGCGCCAAGATGGCTCAAGAGAGCTCTAGAAGAGTTTCGAGACGTACCTGGGTTGTGGGTCAAATTCCTCATGGATGCGTCTTGGGGTCTCTTCGGGGGGAGCCTCTGGGGAGCCTCTTGGGGGCTTCTTGGGGGCCTCTTGGGGCTTTCTGGGGGCCTGTTGGGAGTCTTGGGACTCTTTTGGGGCCTCTTGGGGGCCTCTCGGAGCCTCTTGGGGGGCTCGTGGGGGCTTCTTGGGGCCTCCTGGGCGCCTCTTGGGGCCGAGGGCTCGAAGTATTCGTTCGGTTCCCTGTCTGGCCCCCTCTTGGGGCCGTCCTGGGGATATCTTGGGCCGTCTTGGAGGCCTCTTTGGCCGTCTTGGGGCCCTCTTGGGCCCTCTTGGGGCTCTCTTGGAGGTCTCTTGGGCCGTCTTGGGGCGAGATGTGGGACCTCTTGGGCCGTCCTTGAGCGCCGGGAAGCCGAACAGATGAGAACGCCCAAATCCTTCAAAGACCGAATGGACATCGATGGTTTTTGCCTCCTGGAGCCCTCTTGAGACGCTTCTTCAAAGCCTCTTTGGGCGTCTTGGGAGCCTCTTGGAACCGAGGGCTCGAAATGTCCGTTCGGGTTCCTGTCTGGCCCCCTCTTTGGGCCGTCCTGGGGATATCTTGGGCCATCCTGGAGGCCTCGTAGATCGTCTTGGGGCTCTCTTGGGCCCTCTTGGGGCTCTCTTGGAGGTCTCTTGGGCCGTCTTGGGGCGAGATGTGGGGATTCTTGGGTCTTCTTGGAGCGCCGGGAAGCCGAATAGGTGAGAACGGCAAAATCCTTGAAAAGACCGAAGGGGAATCGATGGTTTTTGCCTCCTGGAGCCCCCGTGAGACGCTTCCTCGAGGCCTCTTTGGGCGTCTTGGGAGCCTCTTGGGGCCGAGGGCTCGAAAAGTCCGTTTGGGTTCCCCGTCTGGCCCCCTCTTGGGGCCGTCCTGGGATGTCTTGGGCCGTCTTGGAGGCCTCGTTGGCCGTCTTGGGGCCCTCTTGGGCCCTCTTGGGGCTCTCTTGGAGGCCTCTTGGGTCGTCTTGGGGCGATATGTGGGGCCTCTTGGGCCGTCTCGGAGCGCCGGGAAGCCGAACAGATGAGAACGCCCAAATCCTTCACAGACCGAAGGGGAATCGATGTTTGTTGCCTCCTTGAGCCCTCTTGAGACGCTTCTTCGAGTCCTCTTTGGGCGTCTTTGGAGCATCTGCGGCCGTCTGGAGGCTATCTTGGGCGTCTTGGACCGATCGGTCGGCGACTCGGAGCCCTCTTGGACCGTCTTGGGGACTCTTGGGGCCCTCTAGTAGCGGTCGGGGGCACCTGAAAGCCGCGCCCAGAAGGAAAACCCATCTCTGGGTAGTACCGGCCGGGGTGCTTTTCGTCCGGGGACCCCCAGGGACCGCCCCGTGCGCGCGAACTAGAAATACTGTTTACCAGTAACCGGAGATCTTCGCACGCCTCTGGCCCGTTGGGCCGGCGAATTATTTTAAACTCGGAACTTTCGTGAAGTTCCAAGATTGTGGAGGATCGGACACCTCTTCGGGGCCGTTTCGCGAACGTCGGTGGAATTGGTGTTCTGGAGATTACTGCGTCCTAACAGCGTCCTTGTTCGACTTCTTGGTTTCATTTACTGCGTCCTAACAGATTTCCCACCAAGGAGACCAGTGGAGCAAATCCAAGCGTCCCATGGTCTTGTTCTCGCCCTCGCAGACAGCACGCTCAGCGTGCTTTCCAAGGACATTCGGTCATCCGAGCCAGTTGTGGTGTGCCGCGACGCGAAGCGCTTCTGCTTCCACACGGGGGCGGAGCAGGTCTCCCCTCGAGAGGAGGGCTCGGATGCCGTGGAGATCTGCGTTTCCGTCCGGAAGAAGCTGGTGCTCTACACCCGTTGTGGAATGAGTTTTGAGCAGAAGCAGGAGTTCCCCACCTCAGACTACGCGCACGCTTTAGTCTGGCACCAGTCCTGGATCTGCGCCGGCTTCAAGCGAGAGTATAGCCTCTTCTCCGACACTGCTGGGTTACCCAGGGAGATCTGCAGCCTGGATGGCAAGATGCTGCCACAGATTGTGCTGGCGCCAGGAAATGAGCTGGTCCTCCTAATCCAAGAGAGCGTTGGGCTGCTGTACAATTTGGGTACCCAGCAGCCTGCACCGAAGAGCACTCTGTGTTGGCCGCGTAAGGTCATTAACCTTACAGTGGCTGGGAGCTACGCCGTGGGAACGACAGGAGTTGGGCAGGTCGACATCTTCGGAGTCCGCGACCAGAAGAACTGTCAGACCCTGACGCTGGAAGGCTCCACGACGGCCGTCTGCTGCGCCGTTGGCGGCCGCGCACTCATCGCGGCTGGCGGAGTAATCGGCAGCCCGCATTTGCAGCGATGGTCATTTCCAGCCCCGAACTCAGCAGGTGTATCGAAACACCGTGCTGGCGGCGATGGAAACTTGGTACCCACAGTTTAACGTCTTGACGCTTCGGGTATCCCCACCCTCTCATCCAGAATCGATTCATATAACCTCACCAAGTCATTAAGAACCCCCCACCTTTCGGCAAAAGTTTAAAACTTCTCGCACCGGGCAGCGTTATCCCAGCACCCGCCTCCAGCAGGATGATGATGATGATGATGATGATGATGATGATGATGATGATGATGATGATGATGATGATGATGATGATGATGATTATTGTGATACTGATGATGATGCTGATGATGATGATGCTGATGATGATGGCGATTATGATGATTCTGCTGATGATGATGCTGATGCTGCTGCTGATGATGCTGTTTATGATGATACTGATGCTGCTGATGCTGATTCCGATTACGATTACGAGCATGATTACGATTATGATTATGATTCTGATGATGATGATGATTTTGATGATACTGGTGCTGATGATTTTGATGATGATGATGCCGATGACGACGATGGTGATGTGGATCATGATGCTGATGATGCTGATGAGGATGATGAGGATTATGTTGATGATGATGATGATGATGGTGGTGGTGGTGGTGATGATGATGATGATGCTGCTGATGATGAGGATGCTGATGCTGATGCTGATGCTGATGCTGATGCTGATGACGACGACGACGACGACGACGATGATGATGATGATGATGATGATGATGATGATGATGATGATGATGATGATGATGATGATGATGATGATGATGATGATGATGATGATGATGATGATGATGATGATGTCGGTTGTGGGGGGGAGGTGGATATGTTTCTTTTGCTGTTTGGCGCGGTGCTAAAGTTATCGTTTGGCTAAAGTTCCCCGCTGGAATTATGAATATCGGTGCGGTGCTACAGATAAGCCCTGTTTACGAGTTGCTGTGAAGAGTGAAGTGGAGGAGCACTCGTGAAACAAAGATGGGAGACACCAGCTCAGGCGAAGCTAGGATCAGCCTGAGACGCCCTCAGGCGTGGCCAACCTGAGCCTCTTGAGTGCTCTGGAGGCCTACTCGAACCATCTGTCGCCCTTGTAGAAGGCCTCTCGAGGCTCTCGTGGGGCCTCTTTGGCCTTTCGGGCTCTCTTGGCGCCATCTTGGATGCGCGGATCAAGAGGCTCTCCATTAAGGTGCCTCCTGAAGCCTTCTTAGGACTAATTTCGGGTGCTCTTGTGGGCCTTTGAGGGCCTTTTGCTTTTTTTGTCAGGTCCCTCATTATACTACCTTGGGCCGTCATGGGATCACTTCAAGTCCTCAGAGACCAATCGCACGCGAATCGGCGAATCCGTAACTTATAACACCACATTAGGTTTGTGATTTATTTTGGCCTCTCGGCGGCATTCGTGGGATGCTCCGATGCTGCCTCGAACCATATTGTGGTGGTCTTGACGGTATTGGAGGCATGCTTTAGTCATTTTGGGCCAACTCTGTGCCATGTTGCGCGACCGTGGAAGCCATCTTGGCCATCGAGGGCCACCTTTGGCGTTGTGACCTCTCGTGCTCCAGGGGTTGGTGTGCACCTCTTCGAGAAGAAGAAGTAAGGATTCGTGTCGGAAGAGCTGGTCCGCTAAACCACCGACGCACACAGGGCTGGTGGGATTAATATTGGAGGCTTGCGCCGTTCCGCCGGCCCCGAACGCAGGCACTTTGTGGCGATGCGATGGGTCACGCAGGTGCCATGGGGAGGGCAACGTGGAGGAGGATGAGGAGGAGGGAAGAGCGCGTCAAGTCGGAGGAGGACGAATAGGTGGAGATTAATGCTGGCGATAGCAGGAGGATAAGTGCAACAGGTCAGTGGCAGGATGGGCCTGGCCCTCGAATGGCCAAGTGTGTTCTTCCCGACTGGCGGTGGCAGCTGCAGCGCACTTCGGTGTGCAAATCAACAGATCACTGCGCTTCTTGGGCCATGTGCATGCTCGGCGGGTTATAGCGTCAACCAACGTTTACCAGAGCACTGGGTCAATTTCATGGTTCTTCGGCGGCCTTCGTGAGCACTGAGGGTGCTCTTTGGCTTTGGTGGGTTCCCATAACCCCCTGATGCCTTTCTTGAGGCGCTCTCGGGCTCCTAGCGGGAAGGGCTTACGGCCGGTGCCGCCGACCCTGAAGCGGGACGACGACGACGACGACGACGACCGCGGCGACGGCGACGGCGACGGCGACGACGACGACGACGCTGACGCTCTGGAGCCCTTCTTGGGGTAATCTTGGGAGCCTGTTGGGCTCTGTTGATGTCAGGGCTGGAGTCGGGGTCGGGCTGGGTCCGGGGCTGGGGCCAAGACCAGGATTGGGGCCGGGGCCAGGGCCGGGGCCGGGGCCCGGGTCGGGGCCGGGGCCAGGACGGGGGCCGGGGCCGGGGCCGGGGCTGGAGCAAGGGCCGATGCGGGAGGAGGGGTCCTGAGCTCCATTGCAGACAGGGGCACTACCTCCCTGTCCCCCTTCTCGGTTTCAGGGTCGAATGCCCCCCATGCGAAGCTCACCCTTTTATTCTGCTGCTCCTCTGTCCGCTTCGCGCTCCCCTCCCTTCATGAGCTCCCACTCTCTCTCTCTCTCTCCCTCTCCCTCTCTCTCGCACTCTCACCCTCTCAACCTGGGGTTTGGGACCTGGGCGCCCGAGGTGTCTCTGACGTCTTCGAAGGGCCTGACTCCCAGCCCACTGGTGGTGCTGGGGGAGGGGACGCGAAGCAAGAACAAGAAACACTTTTTTTGGTCCGCGGGTCGAGAGCGCACCTCTTCCGGTCGAAGCTAAACGGGCCGCGCACAGCTTTGATTGACAGAGGGGGGAAGGCAGAAGGAGGAGCCTCACGTCAAGGCCAAGAGAGGGCAAAACAAGAAAAACATATCATCATACTCAGTTGTTCTTTTTGTGTCCCCCCCCGATGCAACCAGTCGACCACAGCGAGCGCTCGCCTCGGGGCCACGTCCAACCCCACTCGTGACACCAGCACGCGAACGACGCAGCAGAGACGGGGGTCATCTTCGCCGACATTGGCGCGTAAGCTACCCGTGTAAGGTCGCGCGCTAGCTTTCAGCGGAAGAGGTTCGCTCTCGCCCTGCAGATCAAAAAAAAATGTAAGGTCGCGCGTAAGCGCCCTCGTCTCCAATGCAGCGTGCCGCGCTGCCTGGGACCCCTCCCAAGGACCCTCCTTGGAGCCCCCTCTGAGACCCCCCCCACCGGACCCCCCCCCCCCGGCAGGGAAGGGATCCTTTCGAAGCAGTTACGACGTCGTTTGATTTCCGTTTGGCTGGATCGCTTGAGGAGGAGGGCCAAGGGAAAAGGGGGGAGCGGGACGACGACGAGGACGACGACGACGAGGACGACGACGACGACGACGAGGACGATGACGACGACTACGAGAACGACGACTCAAACAGAAAAGTGTCTTACACACGACAAAGGTCGGTGGATTTCTTGTTCGATGCCTTCTTGGGCGAGTCGCGTCATATCGGGAGCCTTTGAAGGCCTGTCGGGTTCTCAGAGCTCTTTTGTGGGCTTCTTGGAGCACTGTTGGGCTCCTGGGCCCCTCTTGGTCCTCCTTGGCTCCGTTTTGAGCCAACTTGGGGCTACTCGTAAAGGCTTCTGAGGTTTATCTGCAGTAGCAGAGGTGAGAATGCCAACACAATTGGCAGTCGTTTCGCTGAATTGGATTTTGGTATCTCAGGGGCTTCCTTGGACGTTTTGAGGTCCTCTTGGGGCCCTCTTATACCCTCGCGGATGCGGCGTTCGATGCCGTCTTGGATTGTGTGGGGCCACATTGGGGCAATCTCCGGCCCCTTTGGGGTTCCCCCACGGCCGCTAGACCATGATGTGGCCTCTAGGGCCCAGGGTGTGCGTCAGCGAGCTCGCCGCTCAGCACCCCTTGAAACCAATAGGGTTTCGGACTCCCTTATGGGGAGTGGAGAGGGAGAGGGAGACAGCCAATCACCTCACACGCCGTGTCCCCCCCGTCAAGCGGGAACAGGCATACATCATGGTTGAGAGGTAGTTGCAGAAGGCTTCTTCTGCCGAGCCTTCGCTATGCTTCGGGACCTTGTGCAGTGAGGCCTATTGTTCGAGCGTCGGGGTATGTGAGTAGACTGGGGCCCGATGTTTCTTTTCATTTTGCAGAACGGTGCAATGGAAGGTCGGGCCCAGTTGGATCCACGCATGCCCGTCTACACCACGTCCGTTCTGGCCCACCTACTGGTCAGGTGGGGGGGGCAATGATGCTGCAAATGCTGGCTGCCAGCCATTACCACTCTGGATCCTGTACCTTTCGCGCGGCAGATGGAGAAGCTCTTGGTGCAGCTGCGGGTCAGCGACGCCTTGGATTTGCTGAATGCCACGCTTGACCCAGAGAGTCCACAGCGGGAGGAGCAGCTGGCGCGCTTCCACGAGCATGCCGGCTGGGCGATGTTCCTGGGACACGCCAACACTTCTTTTTCCTGCAAGGAAGTATGGACACTCGGTGTATCCACACCAGCCCATTCAGAAATGATGCCCAGACGATTTGCCTCGTTCATGGAAGTGTAGGAGCAAGCAGCGGAACAGAGAGAGCAGCGTAGCCGTCACGCCGAAGCTGTAGCCCAACAGCAATATTCGAGGCATTATTGGGCCCTCTTGGGGCCTTCTGGGGGTCCTCAGAGTGCCCTCTCGAAGCCCTCTAAGGGGGTGTTTGGCTTCTCGAGGCTATCCCAGAGACTATCGATATAACACGCAGGCGGTCTCAATTACTGCCCCCGTCGGAGGCCGACAACTCGCGTCTTGGGGCCCTCTTCGAGCACTCTTGGGGCGCCCTTGGGTACTCCTGGGGCCGTCTTAGAGTCCTATTGGCCCCTTGTGAGGCTCCGGTGTGCCAAATTGGAGCCTTTTTGAGACTCCGCATGCCAGTCAGAAGCGAAATGGCGACACGGCCCAACCACTTGTTGTTTCGCAGGTTTTGGAAGGATTTTGGCATCTCGAGGACGTCCTTGGGAGGCCCCGTGGCCACTTGGAGCCGTCTTGGGCGGTCTAGGAGCCTCTTGCAGGCATGTTCGAGGCTATGTTAATCAACCTCTGGCTGTAGTGTGCGACTGGGCTATATGGAGCCCCCGTGGGGCCACCTCGGACCACTCAAGAACCTCAGACATCTCGCGGGGGCAAGGGTCTAGACCCAGGGGCTAGAGGGAGGGATACGGACGATACGGAACACGTGGACACTCATCTTCAGGTGCCACATCGGTGAGGTGGGGCGGGGATGGGGGGGGGGTAAGGGAAGGAGGAACAACAGGGGGCGATCATGATGAAGATGAGGATGTGAAGTTTGGAGAATGATGATCATGACGTTTATGAGGTAGTTGTTGCTGCTGCTGCTGATGGTGCTGCTGCTGCTGATGATGACGAACATGATGATGTCGATGCTGCTGCTGCTGATGATGACGACGATGATGATGACGATGATGATGATGCTAGTGCTGATGCTGATGATGATGCGGCTGATGATGATACTGATGATGCTGCTGATGATGATGATGCTGTTGATGCTGCTGCTGATGAGGCTGTTGATGATGATGATGCCGATGCTGATGATGATGATGAGTCTGATGCTGCCGATGATGCTGACGATGCTGATGATGCTGATGCTGTTGATGTTTATGCTGCTGATGATGCTGCTGTTGATGAGGCTGATGCTGATCATGCTGCTGGTGATGCTGCTGGTGATGCTGCTGGTGATGCTGATGACGCTGATGCTGCTGATGATGCTGCTGCTGATGATGATGATGAGTGCGATGCTGATGATGCTGATCATAAGGATGATGATGCTATTGCTGCTGCTGATGCTGCGGATGATGATGTTGCTGATGATGCTGATGATGGTGATGGGGATGGTGTTGCTGATCGTGCTGATGATGCTGATGATGATAATGATGATGATGGTGCTGATGATGCTGATGATGCCGATGATCATGATGATGGTTATGATGGTACTAAGCATGATGATGCTGCTGATGATGATGATGCTGATGATGCTGATGATGATGCTGTTGCTGATGATTATGATGATTATTGATATTGTGATCATGATTACGATTATTATTCTTGTTACTATTGTTACCCGTATTCGTATTCTCGTTATTCTTAGCATTCTGATGATGATTACGATGATGATGATGATGATGTTGATGATGATTATGATGATGATGATGATGATGATGATGAAGATGAAGATGAAGATGATGATGATGATGATGATGATGATGATGATGATGATGATGATGATGATGATGATGATGATGATGATGGTGGTGGTGGTGGGTGGTGGTGGTGTGGTGGATGGTGTGATGATGATGATGATGATGATGATGATGCTGATGATGATGATGATGATGATGATGATGATGATGATGATGTTGTTGTTGTTGATGGTTATTATTATCAGTACTATCATTATTCCCAATATCATACTAATCCTTATTCTTCTTGCTAGTAATATTCGTAGTATTATGAGCACTGTTATTTTTATTGTTAGTATTATTATTATCATTGTTACTACTACTGCTACTATTATTATTACTATTCTTCTTCTTCTTCTTCTTCTTATTATTATTTATTATTATTATTATGATTTCATTATTATTATTATTATTCTTAGTATCATTCGTCTCATAGTTGAGGTGGAGCGGAGTAGGATGATGCAAGGAGGACCAGGAAGTGGCGACGGCGGGGGCGACGACGACTCTTTCTGGGAGTCTTTGGGGGGCTTGTCGGAGCGATCTTGGAGCCCCTTGGGGGCCATGCTGGGAGCTTGCAGAGCCTTACTGGGGTGACGGAAAGAGCGAGGTACGGGTTTTTGTATGTTTTTCGGATTCTCCCTCCAGACGGCCGAAGAGCGCTCCAAGAGAGCCCAAGACCGCCCAAGACGGCCTAAGAGGCCCCCAAGATGCCCCCAAGAGGCGCCCAAGGGGCGTCCCAAGAGGGCCCCAAGAGGCCCAAATCATAGATTTTCCAGAGGCAAGCGTAGGTTTTTAGCATCTACGGCTTTTCGCCTTTCATGGCGTTGACGACGGCGCAAGAGGCCCCCAAGACCGCCCCAAAACGGCCCAAGAGGCTCCCAAGGGGCCCCCAAAGCGGCCCAAGAGGGACCCCAGACGGCCCACGAGGCGCCCGGGACGGCCCAAGAAGGCCCCCAGATGGCCCCAAGAGGGGGACCACTGACCGAAAAGTTTAGCCTATCGCCCCATGACGCTCCCGGGAGGCCCCCACAGCCCCCAAAGAAGCCCCAAGAGGCCCCCAAGAGGCGTCCGACGAGGCCACCAGGAGGCGAAACTCATTGATTTCCGAAAGGAACACGTACATTTTTAGCATACACGGCTTTTCGGTGTCCACGGCGTTGAAGACGGTCCAAGGGGCCCCCAAGACCGCCCCACGACGCCCCAGAGGCTCCCAAGAGGCCCCCAAAACGGCCCCAGAGGGCGCCAAGACGGCCCAAGAGGCGCCCAAGACGGCCCAAGAGGGCCCCAAGACGGCCCCAGAAGGGGGACCACGAACCCGAAAGTCTAGCCTTTCGCCCCAGGACGCTCCCAGGAGGCCCCCACGAGCCTTCCAAGAGGCTCCGAGAGCCCCCCAAGAGGCCCCCAAAGGAGCTCAAAAAGGCCCGCAATAGGACTCCCAAGAAGGCTCAGAGAAGCCAAATAAAGAGCGATCGGTAACGCAAAATGCTCGTCACACTAAGGCTCCCAAGTGCGAATGGTTACATAAACAAGCTGATACGACCAAGGCTCCCAGCAGTGAGCGATGACGTAACAAGTTCCTGACACCAAGGCCCAGCCAAGGCTCAGGAACGGGTGGCAACGCAACAATCTCTGAACACCAAGGCTCCCAAGAGCGCGGGGTGACGTAACAAGCTCTCAACGCCAAGGCTCCCAGTACGAACGGTGATGTGAGTAATTGCGGTTCATTTGTTTGAGGCGCTCTTTCCGTTTCCGTGCTGGGCCAGGTCTATTGGAACCCTTTCGTGTGCCTTGAGCGCTTACTGGGGGCCATCTTGGAGGCTATCCCTGCATGTCTTGTGATTTGTACAGTCGAGCCCTCTTGAAGCAAATCTTACACACGTTTGAACCTTCTTTGGGGTGTATTGGGTCCCTTTGAGGGCCTTTCGGTCCCCCCTTGGAGCCATCCTGGAGACCATGAGCAAACGGAGGACGGTTGTCAAGTCCTCACGCTTCGCGTATCCCCACCAGCCCCTTCAAAAACCCTGCCCACCGAGTTGACGGAAAAGACACGACGAGATTACTGAGGCAACGCGGGCAACCAGGGCGAACATAGAGATCTCTGGGAGCAATGGGGTGGCCTTGAATGGCTTCTTCGGGCCATCCCTGGGGCCTGCGTGGGGGCGAGAGAAAGCGTGGGATGAGGACTGTGGAAATGAGAGCGGTTGCCTCATATCTTTGCCTAGCCCACCTGGACTTGAGAGTGAAGTATCTTGGGTCTCTGCCGTTCCCGCCACCGCTTTGGTTCAGGACTCACTTCATTCACTAAGCTTCCAGAACCCGAGCCCACTCATATCCTAGACCCCATTCCATCCCTCCCACCAGCTATACTTCATCCTGTTTTGTACTGGGGGCTGCGAGGGCAGCCGCATGGCGTGATAGCAGCCTTGGGACTGTGGTCCAGCGCGGGTGAGAGAGAGCACCATCTCATCTCTTGACGTCATTGGTGGGGGAATAGTGGTAGCGGAGTCTCCTCGGAGGCTCTGTTCTGCGGACCTGATGGCGAATGGGGAAGATGGCAGGAGCTTTCCAGACAGCGCGACCTCAGCTGGCCATGGGGCCGTCAGAACGGCTCTGGGAGCAGCGAGACAGTGGGCGGACGAGGACGGGCATTTCAGGATGTCCGAGGACCAGCTGAGAAAGATGCTAGACGACGTGGCCGGAAGGAGGCCAGCGCCTCCAGAGTCACCGCCCCCGGCCGAACCTTCGGCCGGACTGTCGCGGGAGCAGGTCAGAGAGGTCTTCGAGATAGTGCGCAGCCAGGTCCAATCGTCAGTCCCTGGCGACACAAGACGGACCAGTGGCGAGCACGGCGGCAGACCAGACGAGCTTCAAGAGCGAGATCCGTGGCGGGATGCTCGAGATCGCGAAGCGGACCAGTGGTGGAAGTCTTAGTGGGACGAGTGGAGCGCCGGAGACTGGAAGAGCTGGTCTCAGCAGTGGGGCTCCACCTCCTGGTCCGAAAGGGGGAAGGACTACACGGGGCCCGAGAACGGGACTTCGTGGAATGAGTACAACATGTGGCGGAGGCAGCTCGTGAGATGGAGAATCCTAACCGATGTTCCACTTCATAAACATGCATATCGAATTCTAAAGGTCTTGCCTTTGGAGCTGCAGCGAAAACTATGAATATATTCCAGACAACATCATTACTTTGGACCACGGTGCAGAGAGGATCTTAGAGCGGCTAGACCTGCCATCAGGAGAGAAAATTGTCAACGAAAAACGCAAGGCTGGTCGAGAGTGCTTGTTCTCCTTCAGAAGGAGACAGGGCGAGGGTCGAAATGAGTACGCAATGATGCTGGATCTTGGTTTCGACAAAGTCGAGACCCTTGGCCTACCTGTCTCAGATGACTGGAGTTCATCCATGTTCTTAGAAGAGGGCGTTGGCCTCGATGAAAGAGGTCATCATTTCATGAGAGTATCGATGAAAACGAAAGAATCGTACCCAGATGCGTTGTCGGCGATCAAAGATACGGATGTGAGCCGGAAGGAGTTTCTCTTTCATCAGAAGAAGACGTTCGTGACTGAAGGTTTTCCCACTATGAGCCCAACTTCGTGAGAGCGAATGATGAAATTAGCTCCATCTACGATGGCGATAACGTATCATTTCTCGACGTGGACGAGGAGCAGCAGGTATGCCCCTTTCTTGAGGGTCTTGGTCTCTATGACGACGAGCTTCCAGCAGTCTTCGCCACAGTGCAGGACGAGGGGCGGAAGACCTGGGAGCAGAACCGAGATCCCAAGCGCAAGCTCAAGGTGGATCGCAAGTTCTTCGACAGGTCGAGGGACAAGGAGGCCAACCGCCAGTCGGCCAATCGCGGCCGCCGCGCCGCCAGCGGCCAGGTCAGGCCCGGGAAGTGGCGGCTGCCGCTGTCCGAGCTGATCATGCGCACCAAGTGCAGGAACTGCAACCAGAAGGGCCATTGGTCTCGAGGATGTCCGGCGCCGCAGTGCAACCGCAGCGGCCGACTCGACTGGGCCAGGTTCATTGTTCGTGTCGCGAACGTGGTGGGCCCCTTGCAGCCCGTCGAGGGCGCGCTAGACGACGCCACCCTGAGCCTCATGACGGTTTAGCCTGGGGGGATGATCGTCGATGCAGCGGCAGGCCAGGGACTAATTGGATCTGCTTCGCTCGAGCGCCGTCGCCTTCTGCTTGCCCAAGTAGGTCTTAAGATCCCAGAGGTGCCTCCCAGGAACTCCTCGGCCCGAGGGATAGGCGGAGGCGCTGCTGTTTTGAGCGCGGCTCTAAATCCCACCAGAATTCCAGGGGCACTGGGGGTCGTCGAGCTGGGCGCCCTCAAAGAGGATGTGCCACCCTTCCTGCCAGTGGGTTTCCACGACATGCTAGGGGCCCAGGTCGATTTAGACCAGGGCGAGGCAGATTTGCACCGTCTCGGGGTGAAGGCCCGCGCGGGGGGCTTTCCAGCGGGCGCCGCGCGACGAGGCTGGATGAATTCCAGCATTCGCCTGGGGGGATCTTCGGGTGCCCGCTCGGTGCTAAGCCAGTCTCCGCAGATCAGTGACCGTGACTTTCTGTCTCAGAAGGCGTCCGCATACACGATCGCCTCTGTTCAGGTTTCCCCCCTCTCCTACCCTTTCGAGCCCTCCTCTGACGAAGGATGTTTCGAGGGAGCTGTCGACTCGGCGGGTGGAGGTCGCGCGGGCGTCGGCGGAGAATGCTCAGGAAGATAAGGAGGTCAGTTCACCTGATCAGAAGTCGAGATCGCGTGGTAGCCGTCGGGATCAGGTCCGAGCTCTCTACGGGCCTCTCACCGGCACTTGAGAGAGCCCGGGCCGAACGAACCAGTTGGGCCTGGGTGGGCTCCAATGCCGTTTCCTCATTCCAGTCGTCCTCGACGAGATTCGAGAGCTTCGCAGGACGAACGGCGTGCCGCCTCCAACTGTCGGCCCCACTGGCGGTCCGCCAGCGAACAGGGAAGTTCCCGAGAAGGAGCAGACTGAGGCTCATCGTCGGGCGTCGAGGCCATCAACTATAGAGGAACAGCTCGGATATCATCAGCAGTGGACCTGCGCCGCCACGGGAACCAGCGTTCCGAGCGGGATGAATAGAGCTCAGAGGGGCTGGGCGGCACTCGTGGGTGCGATGATCTTCTGGGTCTCCAAGCTGGTGGACGAGTTCGGCCGTGAGATGATCAACGAGAGGTTCTGGCCGACCAACCTAGTGCGTCAGCTGCGAGTCATTCCATTGGAGTACTACGCGTGTCGCCACATGCCCATCAACGTGGAGTGCGGGAGCAACGGACATGGGGGATGGTGGGTGTGAACCGTGTGCGCCCTGAGTCGGAAGCGGGGCCAGGGCTGCTAAATCCGTTGCTGCTAAAATCGACCTCCTGGAAGTTGTCTTCGCCCCTCCGGGAAGAAGCCCGTTGACTGTTTCGCGTGCCGCGCTTCGTTCCGGGAAGTTGTTTCTTCCTTCCAGGAGGGCCGTTTTGGCTGCCGCGGTTTTAGCGGCCCTCGCCCAGCTTTCGAATGGGGGTGGCTTGCCAGGGGGCCAAGCCAGACAAGTCGAAGCCCAAGATCGAGATGACCTATGTCTGCAAGCGGCAGTGTGCAGTCTGTTCGCTTTGTGTGGGGGGGGGGGGGGGCCGCGCAGGTGGGCGGGGCAGATGCCGATTGGAGAGCGCTGGTGGCCACTCCCGCCCCGCCGCCGGGGCTGCCGGGGGCCAGAACCTTGGCCGGCATGGCGCCGCCCTGGCCACCAGCCAAGGACCGTCGCGCCGCGGGGAGTTCCCGCCAGAAGGTCGAGTCCGAGCAGCCCGACGTCGTCATGGAGAGCGTCGAGCAGCAGGCCAGAGACCAACGGGCGGTTCGTCGCAAGGCAGCCTCTCCAGCCAGGGGGGCGGCCGTGGACAGCAGTCCTGAGTCAGGAGACAGCGCAGACGAGACGAGGCGTCTTCTGCGGCAGATCGCCATCAAGCAGCAGGCCCAGGAGGAGCTCATAGGCAAACTATGCTTCACCGTCTCGAGTCAGATGGGAGAGGTGGCGACCCTGCAGTCTCGACTGCAGCAGATGGCTGCAGCAGGGAGTGCGTCGTCCGCGGCGCTGCAGGGGCCAGCCGCGGCCAAGGCGCCTCCCCCTCCTCGCAGTCCAGCAGCGGCTACGTAGTCGAAGGTCTCAGCCCCGTTGGCGAGCGTGAAACGTGATTTGCCAGGGGTCGAGCAGACAATCAGCCAGCCGAAACAGCGTGGACCACCAGTCGAGCACCGCGACATCGCCACTCCACCACCGCAACCTCCTCTTCAAGGAGTGCCTCAGGGACGCGGTGTCTTTATTATGGCGACGCCGTCGCCCAGGTGCGGAACTCCTTCGGCAGCGACGGTAGCGTCGGTGGAAATTGGCGCAGCTCCGGCAGTGGCGGCCTCCCCGACGTATTGGATCGGGGCCCAGCAGACGCTGGCGTGGGCTCCCCCGCCGGGCTACTCGAAGACGAGGCTGGCGGAGAACCCTCGTGGCCTTCGAGATCAACGCGGCGCTCTTGTGTCATCCTCCGCGATCAGCAGCTTCGCGATGCCGTCTACGCCTGGGGGTGCGCAGTCGGGGCCCCCGGCCGCGGCCCCAGTGGTCCCAGCCACTCAGGCCACCTGGGTCGGCGATCACGTGAAGAAGGGCGACCGGCAGCCTCAGCCGAGGCTGGCAAGGCCCGCCAAGAAGCCGGACGCACCAGCTTCGTCGTGGCAGTCGGATCCCTGGGTTTCCCAGGGCACCCCCGAGGAGGCGGCGTGGAAGCAGCGGCGGAAGATCGAGGATGCCGAGAAGATGCGGCTGGAGAAGGAGGGTTTGCAACAGGTGGGGTGGCAGACATGGGCTCACGATGGAGCCGACCCGCAGGGCAAGTGGACCTGAGTGAGAGCGTGCGCGACGGTGCCGATGCCCGTGCGAGGATGGTGGACGCTAATCACAAGGCCATCTTTGACATCTCTCATGAAGGGCTCCAGAAAATCAGCCGGACGTTCGAGGTTGAACGGGTCGGCGAGGCAACCCTGGAAGTCCAATTCCAATGTCCTGAGTTAGACGGCGCCATTTTCGGGGACCAGTGGTCGGATGATCGCTAGGTACATCTCGCCAAGACCTGAGAGACGGCGAATGAGAAGAGTCTCGTTTGAGCATTCGATTGACATTTTATAGAGCCCAGCTTAGGAGACGGGCCTTTGCCGAGGTCTTCACACCTCCGAGGATCGCGGAGTGCGCTGCTCGCGCCGGAGCGAGCTGCGTTGGCAGCTTCGACAGCGCAGGGGGTGGGAATTCCGAAGAGGGGGCCATCGGGAAATATTGAACACATTCACTCAAGAAAAGAATCTCTGGATGGTCATTTTGGAGCTTCCTTGTGGCGCCTTGTCCATCGCTCACAACGCCGCCGCCCGTCGAGAAACGACCCCCGAGCAACGCAGGAAGAACGAGTCTGCTTCGGAGTTGCTGGGTTTCTCAATGGAAATAGCCATGGCGCGACTTCAGGCTGGAAGGAGGTTTGCGTTCGAGCACCTCGTCACCGCGGCCTCATGGAGGACGGAGACCGTCATGTATCTTCAGGCACTTCTGGAGGTGGAATCCACTTGCGTGGACCTGTGCCGTTTCGGCCTGACCGTCTCTGGAAACGGCCCCATCTCCAAGAAACTGACCCGCCTTATGTCGAACTGCGGGGCCTTTCTCAAACGTTTCGAAGGGTGCAGGTGCACGGGGGGCCACTGGCGCGCGCATGTAGCGGGAGGGGGGGTGACCTAAAGCCGGGATCTATCCCCCGAAGTTGTCGAGAGCGCTGGCCGAGGCCGTTAGGGGCAGCGTCGATGCGGGCTTTCCCGACCCAGAGCCCAGGCAGCTGGATATATCTCGGGGCAACGGAGGCCCTGACCCCTGCTTCGGCCCCAGCTTCCCAGTGGAGGGCGACGGGGGGGGTCAGGCTGAGAAGGGGGGCCATGAACCAGGCGGCGTTACTCGGGGCAAGCCGTTTGAAATCACTCCCAGGATTAAGAAACTCATGCGCAAGGTCCACATCAACTTGGGACATCCCCGCAATCAAGTGATTCATCGAGGTTCTCCGGGGTGCCCGGGCGAAGCCGGTGCGGCGGTGCTGAAGTTCGTTCAAGACGAGTATCACTGCGGAGACTGCCGCGCACTCTCGTCCGGCGGGAAGTCGACTCGCGGCGGTGCCGGGGACCTTCGAGTTCAATCGTATCGTTGCTCTAGATACTTTCTTTCTGACGTTTCAAGAGCAGCAGCTGGTCTTTCTTAAAGTGGTTTGTCACGGCGTGACTTTTCAGATTGTTGAGTGATGCGATGGGACCTCCCTGGGGGCCTGGGGGGCGTTCATGAGGGCCTGGATTAGACCGTTCGGGCACCCCCTCTTCGTCATAACTGACGGATGGGGCCGAGTGTAAGGGCTATTTCGAACGGGGGGTCGACCTTTTCAGTTCTTCTCAGCGCGTCGCGGACTCGGAAAGCCCGCGGCAGGACGGTTGGGCCGAGCGACACGGAGGATGGATGAGGGATATTTTTGTTCGTCGGGCGGAGTCCACTCTCGTCACCGCGGAGGAGGAGCTCGAAATCCTGGTTCATGAGGTTGCCGCCGCCAAGCACAGATACCTGCATCGCGGGGGCTTCACTCCATGCCAGCTCGTTTTCGGACTGAACCCCAGAATTCACCGCGACATTACTTCTGGCGACCCTCTGCAGGTGGTTCGTGCCGATGTCCTTTTACCTGGGTCGTGGGATCAGGACGCCGCGGCCGCCGAGTTTGCGAGCAGAGACGCTATCAGACATCATTCCCGCAAGGAGCTCTTTTAATCCTCCAGCCAGTGCAGGCTCGCTAAGGCGGCTTTCGCTCGAGCGTACCAGGACAAGCATTACCCTCCGAGGCACTGGGTGAACGTTTGGAGGAGAGCTTCCCCGGGATGTCAGAAAACTCATGCGCTTCAGCGGGGCAGGTGGGTGGGGCCAGGTTGCGTCGTTGAACGGAGCGGTGCTTCGGTTTGGATCGCCCTGAGGTCGAGACATTGGAAATGCTCTACCGAACAAGTCCGTTTGGCCACCGCCGAGGAATCGAGGGTGGCCGAGATTCTGTCCGACGTCTCAGTGCAGCATCTTCTGAGGGAAGCGCAAGTCAGTCCCCGTCGAGCTGGCGCCAACGTCTCGGCGGAAGGGCCGCCGCCGCCGGAAGCCTGGGTTCCCGACGCTCCGGCGCCCCGCCCGAACCGTCTCCAGCCGTCGACGGGTGCAGTGGAGGGGTTGGGGAGGGAGAATCGGTCCCTCCACCCGTCTCATTTCCCGAGCACAACGGGCAGATCGGACAACCAGGGGCTATGCCTCCTGTTCCTCCTCCAGGACTGGGACCGATTCCCGAGGGCAAAGTTATGGCCCCCTCCGAGGAAGCCCGGCACCCGGGATCCAGGGTGGAAGGACTCTACGAAGAATCAGAAGTCTCGGGGCCGAGTGATCCGTCCAGGCCGCTCAGCAGAACGACTTCCGAGAGGGGCGGCGATCCGGGCAAGACCAGTAGGACTAGGGTTAGGGGCCCACAAGGGGAGAAACGAAGCAGACCCCGGCGCAGGATCTCCCTCGGCTGTGAGGGCGCCATCGACCAGGGCGCCCAGAGTTGCGATGGGGGATTCCGCCAGTCAGCATCGCGCGGCGGAGCCAATGGACCCTGGTGGGCTTGCCCGCTTGTCGCAGGGCGCGGGAGGTCTCCGAAGGCTAGATGGGTGTAGGGGTAGGCTTCGAACTCTCGGCGAGACTTTCCGGGAAAACCAAGGAGGTAGAGCGAGGCGGCAGATTCGTGAAATAGAGGCCTCTGCGCGAGAGAGATCACGCTCGCCTCGTGGTGTCATCGACGAGGAGCTCCTGTCGTTCCTGGGCCGCCAGGACGAATCCGCGGACAAACCTAACCGGGAGATCATGGCCGAGGGGTGGAGTGGCACCCCGCAAAACTACGCCTCTGGCAACGCCGATGTGGGGGTTATCCCACGCGAGGACGGCGCTTGTTCTCTCTCTCTCTTTCTTGACGAACCGGGGGCCGAGGTCCAATGTAAGAGGTTGACGCCCGTAGAAAAGAAGGAATTCGACGCCTCGGACTCCCCGGAGTGGGGGGTCCATCGCGGAGGGGGCCAGGGCCGTGATTGTCCATCCCCCAGACAAGGCTGGAGAGCTGAGAAGATTGTTTCCGAGCCGCGTTGTGTCCAGCCGCATGGTGAGGAGATGGGGACCACAGGAAGGGATCTTCTCTCTGCCTAGAGCGAAGTCTAGGTGGTGCGTTCGGGGTCACCAGGACGAGGATGCCGCGGAACGTTAGGTTTATGCCCCCCACTCCATGCATGGAAGCGCTCATGCTATTTCTCGCTCTTTTCCCTTATGTACCGCCGCACCATATGCAGAGCAGACATTAAGAACGCATTCTGTCAGTCAGAGCCTTGCAGGAGAGCTCGAGGTCGTGTGTTCGTGGAACTGTGCGACGGAGCCCCGGGCCCACCGGGCTCCTTGATCGAGCTCGTCGCCCCAGCTCGTGGATTGGACGAGGCTCCGCTGGCTTTGTCATCGCGCGACGGCGAGTTTCATGAAGTCGCAGAACTTTGAGCGCATCCGTCTGGAGCCCTGCTGGTTCGTGCAGAGGTCGGAGGGGCAGTTGAAAGTTCAGGTGCTCGTGGAGGTAGACTACTGGGCCTGAGAAGGACTGGAAAACCAATGCCTCAAGCCCTTTCAGGCAAGGTTTCCCTTCGGGAGAATGAAACTCTTGGGCGCCTCGGGGGTCGAGTATATAGGAAGGCGTCTCCGTCTTGTCGGGGACAAGAGATTGTGGACCAGGAGAAATACATTTTTGAACGCCTCCAGCACTTTCCTTTGGCCCGGGGAAAAAAGCGATCGTGGGGCTGCTCTCTTGGGAGGGGAAGTCGCGGCTTTCCGGTGCCCAGCTTACAGGCTTCAATGGGTGGGGGGGGAGACGAGGGCCGTGGCCGCGGGAGCCGCTTCTATGTTGGCCACTAAAGTTAGTGACCCCCGCGTCGAGGATCTGCTTGGCGCCGATCATATGGTCGAGCACCTGAGACCTACGGCCTGTTCCCATCGCTATTTGGAGGCTCCGTCTGGAGGGTTTCGTGCTGGCTGCGGCCAGTGACTGCGGGGGGGTGGGGGCTGAGGGCGCGGGGGGCCCGGCAGATCTACGTTGGTGGCAACTCTTCGGATCGCGGAGCCAAGGCAAGAGTTGCCGCCGTAACCTGGCGTTCCGGAAAACTCAGAGGACAAGTAGCTGCACCCTCGCCGTAGCCCTTGCGGAGGCCGAATTGCTTTAATAAGTCCTTTTGGCAGAAGTCACTCGTGGGAAGTGACCCCGAGTTGGCGAGAGGAGCTCGGGCCGTTCGCGGCGCTCCTCAGAGACGAGTGCAGGGCCCTGGGCCCCCCGAGGCCCAGCGACAATTTAAGCGTAGTAGATGCCGAAGGAATCTACGATGCTCTGTCCAAGCTGACGCCAGGGGCGACGTCGGACCGAAGACCTGCAATCGACTTGCTAGTGGTCAGGGGGACGATGGACATAATCGGATCGTCGACCAGATGGATCCCCAGTCCGCTGGTGCCTTTGGACTGTCTTACCAAGTCCGATATGGCCAAGGCGAACGCTGCCCAACTTCGCCTTTTGAAGTCGGGACTCCTGAGACTCACGGCTGAGTCCGAGTCTCTTCAGAATCGGAGGGGGGGTCCGGCAGCGCGGAGTCGGTCTCGAGTGGCGTCGAAGCGACAGTTTGATCAGACACTTGACGTCAGTCGCTCCCCCGCTCACCTCACCTCCTCTCCGTGATTCAAGAAGCGTCTCCAAAGGTGTCTTCGTAAGCGCACTGGCCATTGGTAGACTCAACGCCGGCGAATGTTCCAAAGGAGAACGCCATGGACACGAGTCGAGAGCAGGCCGAGCAGCGAGGATGCACGCCGCCCGCTACGCACGGCCAGGCCATGGAGATATTCAGAGAGACGCCGCGCATTTTGCGTTGCCAAGGAGAGTGGGCAGGACCCGGCGCAGACCGCTCTCAAGTCCATTACTCTTTGGGGCGCAGTGGAAATAAGTGCCGTTGCCTCATATCTTTGCCTAGCCCACCTGGGCTAGAGAGTGAAGTATCTTGGGTTTCTGCCGTTCCCGCCACGGCTTTGGCTCAAGACCCGCTTCACTCACTAAGCTTCCAGAGCCCGGGCCCACTCATATCCTAGACCCCATTCCATTCCTCCCACCATCTATACTTCATCCTGTTTTGTATTGTGGGCTGCGAATGCAGCCGCCTGGCGTGATAGCAGCCTTCGGACTGTGGTCCAGCGCGGGTGAGAGAGAGAGCACCATCTCATCTCTTGACGTCATCGGTGGGGGAACAAGAGCGACGACGACCACGACGACGAGGAAGAGGAACATGATAAGGAACACGGTGTTGGCGATGACGAGGAGGAGGAGGAGGAGGGAGATCCTCGCGTCCTGTTGGGGCTCATTCGATGGGTTCTGGAGCCTTCTTGGAGCCCTCTTGTATCCCTCTTGGGGGTCCCTTGGGAGCCCAGGAGGGCCTCCTGGGGCCATTTTGGAGGCTTTGCATCAAACGAGGGAATGGGGGTCCCAATGCCCCCCCCTTCGGGCCATCAACATCGCCTCTTGGGGCGCTCGTGGGGCGTTCTTGGGCCGCTCTGGCGCCCTTGGAAAAACGCATTGGAAGCGAAAAGGCATCACAGATTTCCCGCATGTATTTGCAGGATTTTGGCTTCTTGGGGGGTCCTGATGGGGGCTCCGACAGCATTTGCAGCCGCCTTTGTCCCTCGTCGGGTCTGTTTGATCCATGTCGGAAGCTATCTTGAACCATCTTCGGCTATCTTGAGCCGCCTTGGAGGCCATCTCGGAGCATTGGAGGCCCTCTTGGAGCCATCTTGCGCCAGCTAGGACGCTTTAAGCCGTCGCGGCCAACCCCAAAAAACCTCAGGGAGAGGGGATGGGGGAGGGTACCCCTCCCCGAAGAGACGAGTATGTTTTGTTTTTGTTTTTGTTTTGCTCTCCCCTGGGGAAGAGCGATCTCGTTAGACCACCTCAGCCCCAGAGGCTGGTGGGATTCGCTCCTGCCTCTGGTGCGCTCAGCGTCGGTTGAGCCCTAGGAAGGAGGAAAATGATGAGGTGGGTGGAGGCGGATGGGAGTGATAAGGAACACGAGGGGGATGGGCGCGGAGAGGAACAATGCGATGACCACGACGACAGCGACGACGACAAAAGGAGCCAACCTTGAAACGCTTTCGTAGATCTTTCGCCCATGGCAATGTGCAGGCATCACGCTTTTCTGTGCGACTGCGACCAACCCGCACTGGAAGACTCGAGGACGAGAGGGAGGAGGAACAGGAGAACACTGACGGGTGTGGCCCAGAAGAGGATCGTGTAGGACGAGAGGGGGGAGATAGGCAAAGGGTGGTTACGACATCTGCTGCACCTCCTCCTACTCCTCCTCCTCTCCTCCTCCTCCTCCTCCTCCTCCTCCTCCTCCTCCTCCTCCTCCTCCGCTGGTTTCGGCTCCGCCGCCTGGCGCTCCCCTCGACACGTTTGGCGCCTCCGGCGCCAGGAGGCGCTGGCCAGAAGCGAGCTGCTTTGCCATCCAGGCCCGCCTACAGTGGGGGCCCATGCCAAGAGTTACCCTGCCTGCCTCCAGGGTGTCCTGGGGTTCTTGGGTTTCGATGGGTTTGCCATGGAAAGCGTGAATTTCCCACCAAGAATCAATGGATGTCCTGGGGCCTCAGTGTTGGGTTTCTTGTGGAAGGTATCTTGTGGACTGGCCTCCATTGTGTGGTCCGATTCGATGCGATTCGATCCGCGGGCTGGGCTCGCGATTCCGACGCGATTCGGTTCGGTTCGATTCACCAGCATCGGCCCTGGTCAACCGGAGCCGCGCGCGGCGATCGGATTTCGATTCGATTCGGAACGATTCGCTGGCGATTCGATACATTTCCGATCCAGATCCGATTTCGCGATTTGATCCAGCTCAGGCCTGCTATCCCTGGAGGCCTACTGGTCTGCCGATGTCCGCCGATCCGACTCTTCCTGGCTCGGCTGCCGATTTCCGCCAATCCGATTCATTTCGATCGCCGATCCGACCTCTCGATTCGATTCTGGGCTCTCCTGCCCTTTCGCCCGACCCGAGAGGGTACAGATGGGAAGTGTGGCGTGAGATCCAGACGCGGCAGCCACTGAGACCCACTGAGGTTCAGAGACCTTCAGTTTACGGTGGCCTTCCAGCACTTCATGTACTCCACCAACTTTCGGCTGGAGCAGCTGCTGCTCTTCTGGAGGCCTGGGCCGGGCTTGAAAGCTGTTAGTCGCCACAGGCCGATGCAGGTGGACATCTTTCGAGCCCGCGAGGGGCCGCCTTCCGCCGTCAGATCAAGGCAAGCCCTGCTGATGTCCAGCGCCATCCTTCTCACAGGCATTCTGACTCTGCGCACGGCGGAGTCTCAGGAGGGAAAGAACACACACACAGACACAAATAATCGTCGCTCCCAGGAAAATATGGGAAAATATGGGAAGTGGGGGGGAAGACAGAAACCCAGAAAATATTTGAAAATATGGGGAATCTTTTTATTTGTGTGTATTTATTTGTGTGTCCTGGGGCCCCTTTGGAAGTCTGTCTGCTCGTGACCCCGACGCCTCGGAGGGGGCGTCTGGGCTCCCGCCTGGGGTCCCCATGCCTCTGGCCACGGCTGGCCTGCCCGCCTGCGCGACTCCCCCGCCGCGTTGGCGCTAGGCTTCAGTCGGGCCTCTCCCCCAACAGGAGGAATCTTCAAACATAGTCAAGACATAGTTTTAGGGCGTTTTTGTTGTTGTTGTTGTTGTTGTTGTTGTTGTTGTTGTTGTTGTTGTTGTTGTTGTTGTTGTTGTTGAACATTATTAATTCTAAAGAATAATTATTGTTGGGGCCCCTGGTGCACGGCCCCCCCGCCGCGCCTAGGCCGCAGCTACATTTTCATCATTTTTTCGCGAAAGCTTCAGAAAAGTGGATGGGGTCCAGATCCGGTTGTTTTGTTGTAATCCGTTTTCCCTTGCAAAAAACACTATAAAATGACATTTCTTGTTCTAATATAATCAAATTTCAAGAATCCCTTGCAAAAAATAAGGTAAAGTGGACATTCGCGCGCGCAAGACGAAATCCTTCCAAAAGCTTAGTGTTCGGAGCGATTTTAACATAAAAACATCAAAAAACCAATGGTTTTTCAACAAAAAATGTCAAAATCTCATCCCGCGCGCTCTTGCGGATTCGTAGGAAACCCAACACTTTTTAAACATTTCTGTCAAACGGGCTTTTGCGAGCAACTTTTTCGAACTTCTGCGACAACGGTTGCGCACCTGCCAGGGCCATCATCCCTGTCAAATAATACCATGCGGGACACATTCGTTTTTTCTTCGCGCGCGCACGCCGAAATTTCCAAAAACCATTGGGCTTCTGTGGGTTAACAAGGCTTAACAACTTCTGTGGGTGTACGAACGTAGGCTTAACAACTTCTGTGGGTGTGTACTCCACGCCAGTGTAGTAGCCACGGTCGTCCGCAGGCCACGAAGTGAAGTGTCCGAACGTCATAGGGCGGGAAGCTGGGTGTGGGTGGTGGCGAAGAGTCGTGTGGATATTTGGTAGAGCTTGCACTGCCCCCCCACAAAGTGGGGGTATTGGCTGGCGTCGCATGAAAACCCTGGCACTGGTGAGAACACTGAGCGTTCGGGTAAAGTGATTGTTGTTGTTGTTGTTGTTGTTGTTGTTGTTGTTGTTGTTGTTGTTGTTGTTGTTGTTGAACATTATTACTTCTAAAGAATAATTATTGTTGGGGCCCCTGGTGCACGACCCCCCCGCCGCGCCTAGGCCGCAGCCTCATTTTCATCATTTTCGTGAGGAAGTCTCAGGCAAAACGGGGGAGTCCGGATCCGGTTGTGTTGTTACGATCGGTTTTCCCTTGCAACAAATAAGCTAAAGTGGACATTTCTTGTTCTAACATAACCAAACTTTCAAGAATCCCTTGCAAAAAACAAGGTAAAGTGGACATTCGCGCGCGCAAGACGAAATCCTTCCAAAACCTTAGTTTCGTAGCGATTTTAACATAAAACATAAAAAACCAATGGTTTTTCAAAAAAACTGTCAAAATTTCATCCCGCGCGCTCTTGCGGATTCGTAGGAAACCCAACAGTTTTTAAACATTTCTGTCAAACGGGCTTTTGCGAGCAACTTTTTCGAACTTCTGCAACAACGGTTGCGCACCTGCCAGGGCCATCATCCCTGTCAAATAATACCATGCGGGACACATTCGTTTTTTCTTCGCGCGCGCACGCCGTCGTCGTCGGCCGCGGGGCCCTGAATAGTAGCCACGGTCGTCCGCATGCCACGAAGTGAAGTGTCCGAACGTCATAGGGCGGGAAGCTGGGTGTGGGTGGTGGCGAAGAGTCGTTTGGAAATTTGGTAGAGCTTGAACCGGCCCCCCCACAAAGTGGGGGTATTGCCCGCCTCCTATGAAAACCCTGGCACTGGTGAGAACGGAGTGTCCCCACGTGCTAGTAATTGTTGTTGTTGTTGTTGTTGTTGTTGTTGAACATTATTACTTCTAAAGAATAATTATTGTTGGGGCCCCTGGTGCACGACCCCCCCGCCGCGCCTAGGCCGCAGCCTCATTTTCATCATTTTCGTGAGGAAGTCTCAGGCAAAACGGGGGAGTCCGGATCCGGTTGTGTTGTTACGATCGGTTTTCCCTTGCAAAAAATAAGCTAAAGTGGACATTTCTTGTTCTAACATAACCAAACTTCAAGAATCCCTTGCAAAAAACAAGGTAAAGTGGACATTCGCGCGCGCAAGACGAAATCCTTCCAAAACCTTAGTTTTCGTAGCGATTTTAACATAAAACATCAAAAAACCAATGGTTTTTCAACAAAAATTGTCAAAATTTCATCCCGCGCGCTCTTGCGGATTCGTAGGAAACCCAACACTTTTTAAACATTTCTGTCAAACGGGCTTTTGCGAGCAACTTTTTCGAACTTCTGCAACAACGGTTGCGCACCTGCCAGGGCCATCATCCCTGTCAAATAATACCATGCGGGACACATTCGTTTTTTCTTCGCGCGCGCACGCCGAAATCTTCAAAAACCATTGGGTTTCTTAGGAATTTTAGCACCGCGCAACATAAAATCATACGAATCGCACCGTAGGTCCTCGAAAAACATCTGTACGAATTTTCAAAATTTCTACCCGCGCGCGCTGTCCGAATCCTAAAAAACCAATGGTTTTTCAACATTTATGTTACATGAGCTCGCGCGAGCTACTTTCGCAAGCTCTGTACCCATGCGCCAGTGTAGTACCCATGCGCCAGTGTAGTAGCCACGGTCGTCCGCAGGCCACGAAGTGAAGTGTCCGAACGTCATAGGGCGGGAAGCTGGGTGTGGGTGGTGGCGAAGAGTCGTTTGGAAATGTGGTAGAGCTTGAACCGGCCCCCCCACAAAGTGGGGGTATTGGCGGGCGTCGTATGAAAACCCTGGCACTGGTGAGAACGGAGTGTCCCCACGTGCTAGTAATTGTTGTTGTTGTTGTTGTTGTTGTTGTTGTTGTTGTTGAACATTATTTCTTCTAAAAAATAATTGTTGTTGGGGCTCCTGGTGCACGGCCCCCCCGCCGCGCCTAGGCCGCAGCCACATTTTCGTCATTTTCGAGCGAAAGCCCTTGACAAAACGATGTGATCCAGATCCGGTTGTTTTGTTCCCCCCCGCTTTCCCTTGCAAAAAACAATATAAAATGACATTTCTGGTTCTAACATAACCACATTTCAAGAATCCCTTGCAAAAAATAAGGTAAAGTGGACATTCGCGCGCGCAAGACGAAATCCTTCCAAAACCTTAGTTTTCGTAGCGATTTTAACATAAAAACATAATAAACCAATGTTTTTTTTTTTTGTTTGTTTGTTTTTTTTCTTGCGGATTCGTAGGAAACCCAACACTTTTTAAACATTTCTGTCAAACGGGCTTTTGCGAGCAACTTTTCGAACTTCTGCAACAACGGTTGCGCACCTGCCAGGGCCATCATCCCTGTCAAATAATACCATGCGGGACACATTCGTTTTTTCTTCGCGCGCGCACGCCGTCGTCGTCGGCCGCGGGGCCCTGAATAGTAGCCACGGTCGTCCGCATGCCACGAAGTGAAGTGTCCGAACGTCATAGGGCGGGAAGCTGGGTGTGGGTGGTGGCGAAGAGTCGTTTGGAAATTTGGTAGAGCTTGAACCGGCCCCCCCACAAAGTGGGGGTATTGCCCGCCTCCTATGAAAACCCTGGCACTGGTGAGAACGGAGTGTCCCCACGTGCTAGTAATTGTTGTTGTTGTTGTTGTTGTTGTTGTTGTTGTTGTTGTTGTTGTTGTTGTTGTTGTTGTTGTTGTTGTTGGTTGTTGTTGTTGTTGTTGTTGTTGTTGTTGTTGTTGTTGTTGTGTTGTTGTTGAACATTATTCCTTCTAAAGAATTATTATTGTTGGGACCCCTGGTGCGCGACCTCTGCGCCGCGCCTAGGCCGCAGCTACATTTTCATCATTTTTTCGCGAAAGCTTCAGAAAAGTGGATGAGCTCCGGATCCGGTTTTTTGTTGACGCTCGTTTTCCCTTGCAAAAAACAATAGAAAATGAAAATTCTTGTTTTTACTTGATCAAATTGCAAGAATCCCTTGCAAAAAATAAGGTAAAGTGGACATTCGTGCGCGCAAGACGAAATCCTTCCAAAACCTTAGGTTTCGTAGCGATTTTAACATAAAAACATCAAAAACCCAATGGTTTTCTCAGAAAAAATTGTCAAAATGTCCTTCCGCGCGCTCTTGCGGATTCCTAGGAAACCCACCAGATTTTAAACATTTCTGTTAAAAGGGCCTTTGCGAGGAACCTTTTCAGGTGCTTCGACCTTCTGCACTGGCTCTCTGTCTTGCTCTCTCTGGCTCTCTGTCTTGCTCTCTCTCTCTCTCTCTCTCTCTCTGTCTCTCTGTACTATGTATGTCATACGCAACAAATGCACCATGCGGGGCACATGCGGGGCCCAAACAAGTGATCAACCTCTGCGGGTGTGTACTCCACGCCAGTGTAGTATCCACGATCGTCCGCGCGCCACGAAGTGAAGTGTCCTGACGTCATAGGGCGGGAAGCTGGGTGTGGGTGGTTCCCGAGAGTCGTGTGGATGTTTGGTAGAGCTTGCATTGCCCCCCCACGAAGTGGGGGTATTGGCTGGCGTCGCATGAAAACCCTGGCACTGGGGAGAACACTGAGCGTTCGGGTAAAATGATTGTTGTTGTTGTTGTTGTTGTTGTTGTTGTTGTTGTTGTTTTTCTCTCGATATTTTTGCCCATTTGGGGGGAATGTTTTGAGTAGTGCTCTTCGCCCAAAATCCCCTTGTAGGGGGACGCGCCCGACCTGACGCTAGGTGTGTCAGCAGCACGCCAGGTGCCCGCTTTCGGGCTGTCCGGGAATGCTGGGTCTGCCTGAGGGGGCCCGGGGTGGAGGCAGGCTACTCGTTGTCTTCTCTGCCGCTCTGTGATGCCTTCCCGGGGTGGAGGCAGGCTATTCGTTGTCTTCTCTGCTGCTCTGTGATGCCTTCCCGGTCCCTGCCGGCCCCCCCGGTTTTTTTGGGGGGCCCGAGCCCGCGCGGGCCGCGGGGCCACCGCGGCCCGAGCTGCTCGCTCGAGGTGCGGAGTCCGGCTGCAGCCCGCGGATCCTCCTCCTCCTCCTCCTCCTCCTCCTCCTCTCCCTCCTCCTCCTCCTCCGCCTCCTCCTCCTCCTCCTCCTCCCCCTCCCCATCCTCCCTCCCTCCATCCTCTCCTCCTCCTCCTCCTCCTCCTCCTCCTCCCTCCTCCTCCTCCTCCTCCTCTCCTCCTCCTCCTCCTCCTCCGGCCGGCGACGGACCTCCGGAGTTGGGCGATCCCCGCAGGCGGCACCTCCCGTCGGGCTGGCAGCCCGCGGCCGACCTCGCGCAACGCACCGCGGAGAGTGGCGCACCGGAGCCGCTGGAGATCGAGCAGTTTGTGCGCCACAGGCTCGGGAGTGAACGGGAGGAGATTCACCCTTCCCTCTCCCCCTTCTCAGAAGGGGGAGAGGGAAGGGTGAGGCACAACGGGTAGTGAAGCAAGAGCGTGTGGAACGTGGAAGAGGCGGGGGTGGACAGACGCGACACCGCCGCGGGCGGAGGACAGGCCATCTCATGGTTGTGAGGCGGGCGTGGCTTTGTGACGCCCGCCCGAAGCGGCGCGTATGCCCGTGGGCGATTCGAGTTCTGCACACCTCGCCGACCAGCCATAACTGGGGGAACTGTGGTCCTTACCCCCCTGGGGGAACCCATCGCATCGACGATCTCTCGAGAGTGATGACGAAATCAATGGGTCCCCCAGGGGGGTAAGGACCACAGCTCCCCCAGTTGTGGCTGGCCTGCCTCGTGCTCGGAGTCTCAGGCAGTGACTGTTTCGGTCTGCCAGGGTCTCGACTTCGTGTTGGGCCACGCGCTTTTCTTTGGATGACACGTGTTCTCTGGCTCGTGTTGGGGTCGGGGCGTGTCCTCCTACAGGCGGATTTTGGACGACAAATAGGACATGGTTAAGCAATCTTTCAAACATAGCCAAAGCTAGTCAAAAGATCGCCCCCGGACTATTTTTTGACTTCTCTTGAATATTCCTCCTGCGGAGGGACGCACCTGACGCAAGGCTCGTGGCCACGCGCAACCGATCCATGACGATTGAACTCGTCTGAGTTGGGCTTTGATGCAGGCCATCCAGAAGAGGGCTCGCAGGAGAAGTCGTGCTGTGGCGACGCAGCCTCCCAGGTAGATGATGAGACCCTGACTTGGGGGCTCACCTCCGTCAGGCTTGAAGAGAAGCACACCCACGACGAGTCCGCCGTGTCCGCAAACGTCGATTTGGCCAACAATGCCATGGTCATGCTCCTGACCAGGCTCAGTTTCGTTTAACCGATCCCCATCCCCATCTTCATCCACATCTCGAGCCCTACCGCCTCACCACCCCAGTTGGGGAGGCCCCCCGAAACCCGAAGAGAGCAGCCTGTGCCCCCGTCCAGGGGGACACATCGGCCAGAGGTGCCCCGCCCACGCTGGTGGGGATGAGGATCGGTGAAACGATGCTCACAGGCAGCGCGAGGCACTCCAGGCCACGGAGCGGATGCACCGGGAGGAGCGGCCGCCCTGGCTCAAGGACCCCTCGGCGCTGCTGCGCGCCGTGGACGCCGTCCTGCTGCGGCTGCTCGTCGAGACCGGCGGCGACGACGCCCGGCTGCAGAGGCTTCTGGACGAAGGCATGCGGTGCGCGCCCGAGGACCCAGGGCCCCCCCCCAATGCGGCCACGCGCGGAGGGGGGCAGGGGGACGGGGGACGGGGGAAGGCTTCTTAGAAGGAGGCTGCTTCTTAGAAGGCGCGGGCCCTGTCTGCAGATGCAGGGCCGGCGCCTCGTGATAAGCAGGGGCGCCTTGTAAGAAGCCCTCCCCCCTCCGCCTGCCCCCTTGTGCGCGCCGCCAGCCAATGGAGCTGGGTCGTGGCCTGAGGCGGGGCCCGCTGCCAGAGCTCGCCTTCTGCAGCGGGCCGGTGGCTGTTGCGCCTCGGCGCGGGCCCGAAGAGGACCAGCCTCGAGCCCATCCCTGTCCCCATCCCTGCCCCTATCCCCATCCCTCGGCGATGGCAGCCTTAGGGCCGCGCCTCCAGAGACCGATGGGGGCTCCTCGCTGTCGTTCCCGACACAGGGGTGCTGCCAATCGCAGGGATACGTCTCCGGCTGGTAAGCCCAGGGGTGCGCGGTGAGCTGGGCGTCTTGCTTTCGGCGCTCCCGCCCCCGAGGTGCGGCTTCCCCGAATCGGTTTGGAGAGCCTTCGAGGAACACGTGGGCATCTTGAAGGTCATCTTGGCCGTGTGGAGGCCACTGTGATCCTTTCGGGCCTTCTTGGAGGACGTCTTGGAGGGCTCTTGGGTCGTCTCGGAGGCCATCTAGAGCGTGGAGGCCTCTTGGGCCGTCTTGGGGGCCTCTTGGGCCGTTTTGGGGGCCTCTTGGGCGATCTTTGGGGGCACTTGGGCCGTCTCGGGCCGTCGGAAGGCTGAACAAAAAGCAAATGACACAATCCTTCAAAACCTGCTGGGACATCAAGGATTTTGGCCTTTTCGGCCCTTCCAAGAGGCCCTCTTGGGAGCCTCTTGGGCCGTCTTGGGCCATCTTAGGGCCATCTTCGGCCGTTTTGGTTGTCTCCTGGCCCGTCCGACGCCGTCGGAAGCCGTTTGGGGGGCCCCTTTGGGCCGACTTGGGGCCTTCTTGGAATGCTCCAGGGCCGTCTTGGAGGCCATCTTGGGCCTCTTGAAGGCCTCCTGGGCCGTCTTGGGGGACGCTTGGGGCCGTCTTGGGGGCCTCTTGGGCCGTTCTGGGGCCAACTTGGAGGCCTCTTGGGCGATCTTTGGGCGATCTTTGGGCGCTCTTGGACCGTGTCGGCCCGTCGGAAGGCCGAAACGAAGCACATGTCAAAATTGTTCAAAAACCTAAGGGAAAGCACTGTTTTTCGCCTTTTTCTGGCCTTCCTGGAGGCCCTCTTGGAGGCCTCGTGTGCCGTCTTGGGCCAGCTTCGAGCCAACTTCGGCCATCTTGGTGGGCCCTTGGCCCGTCTGACGCCGTCGGAAGCCGTTTGGGGGGTCTCTCTGGGCCGACTTGGGGCCCTCTTGGGGTGCTCCGGGGCCGTCTTGGAGGCCATCTTGGGCGTCTCGGAGGCCTCTTGGGTCGTCTTTGTGCCCTCTTGGGGCCGTCTGCGGGCCTCTTGGGCAGTCCGGAGGCCATCTTGGAGGCCTCTTGGGCGCTGTGGGGGCGATCTTGGGGGTCTTTTGGGCCGTCTTGGGTCGTCGGAAAGCCGAAAAGGAGCAAATGCCCAACTCCTTCGAAAACCTAAGGAATATCAATGATTTTGCCCTCTTCGGGCCCTGCTTGAGGACCTCTTGGAGGCCTCTTGGGCCGTCTTTGATGCTTCTTGAGCGAACTTGGAGGTATCTTGGACTCTCTTAGGCCGTCTTGGAGGCCGTCTTGGACCATCTTGGGCGGACTTAGAGGCCATCTTGGACCATCTTGGAGGCCATCTTGGGCCAACGTGGCCATCTTGGAGGCCATCTTGAGCCGTCTTGGAGGATTTTTTGTGGACGCTGAGGTGGTTTACGCGGCCTTCCGGGACCCCGGCGGAACGCGCCGAAGCCCCAGGGGGAGTTCTTTTGGAAAAGAACCAAAACCAAAACCGAAAGTGTCCAGCACGCCAGGCACCCCTGCGATGAATCGACGGGGGGCGGCGGATTCTCGAATGGCCTTCGGCACATCCCGCCACCGTGCCTGGGCAGCGGGTCGGAGGCCGCGCGGATGGCAGATGGGATCTCGTGGGGGGCGTCTCGGGGGGCGTTGGGGCGGCAGTTTCTGCACCTGTTGGGGGCCTCCTGGGAGCCTCTTGGTGGCTTCTTTGGGGCCTCTCGGAGCTTCTGTGGGTGTTGGGGGCTTCTTGGGGCAACCCGGGGAGCGTTTTAGGGCCGAAGGCTCGAAATGTCTGTTCGGGTTCCCTCTCCGGGCCCCCTCTTGGGGTCGTCCTGGGCCCCCCTGGGTCGTCTTCGGGGCCTCTTGAGCAGTCTTGGGGCTCTCTTGGGTCGTCTGGGAGCCCTCTCAGGGGCCTCTTGGGTCGTCCTGGGGGGGCGATCTTGGAGGCTCCTGCTGCCAACGCACAAGAGGCGAACGTGTTCTAAATGCACATTTTCCCAGAGGAGTGGGAAGATTTTTGCCTTTGGAGGCTGTCTTCGGGCGCCTCTTGGGGGCCTCTTGGAGCGTCTTGGGGGCCTCTTGGGCCGTCTCGAGGCCATCGTGAGCGCTTTGGATCGATCTTTCGTCGGCTCGTGGCCCTCTTTGGACCGTCCAGAGGGCCTCTTGAGGCCTTCTTGGCCTGTTTTGAGGCCCTCTGTCCCCCCTGGACGCGTTCGGCCAGTCCCCGGGGGACCCCCCCCCTCCAAATCGATCGGACCGTGCTCCCGGGGGAGTGGTTTGGGGAGGGGGAAGCATCTCACACGCCGGTGAACCCCACGGGTCGGTGGTTGTCGCCCTCTTCCCATAGAGGGCCGTGCACTCTCCGTCTGCGCAAGTGTAGGCCGGTTTTGCGTCCTCTTTCCGCGGGGTTGGGCGACACGGTGGCATCGGGAGAGGAGGGCCAGTTGACGCACCCGCCGACGGTCCCGAACGTCCCGAGCGGGGGGGTCGACGTCGCGAACGCCCCGAGCGGGGGGGTGGCTGGGCGGCGCGAGTGGGGGAGGGGGGGTCGACGTCCCGAGCGGGGGGGGGCGAGTCGCCGCAGCTGGGCGCCCCTCCTCGATACGCCAGCGCCCTTTCAGCGCAGGGAGGGGCTCCCGAGAGATCGGGCACGCTCGAGCCGACTCGCCCCCCTTACCCGTTGCTTGCGCCCCTCGGGCAGTCCCTCTTGGCCGTCTTTTTTCCGGGTGCCCATCCGCCGAGCAGGGGACAGGCTGCGGAATTGATTCACCGTAGGCTTGACTTGCTCGCCGAGCTTGCAAACAAGAGTGCGCAGAAGGCTCGCAGAGCGCGCCACGTGTTGCTGTAGGCTCGACGGGAAAATCGAGTCCAGGGTGAATCAACTCTGCAGTCGATCCACTTCTAAATTCCGGCGCAGACGCAGCCGCTCCAGTACCCGCCACGGCGGCCCAGCACGGGAGAGGGTCGGACGGGTCTAGGACGAGGATCCGTCCGTTCCAGAGCGCTCCGGAACGCTCTCGGAGCGCTCCTGAACGCCCCGAGAAGGCCGCGGCGCCCGAGACATCTTCCGGAGCCGCCAGATCTCAGAGATTCTCGATCTGCCCTCGCCCGATTGTATCCTCGTTCTGGCTTCGTCTCAGAGTGGGGTCCACAGGGGCCCTCCCTGCGCCCCCCTACGGGAGAAGCTCCTGGTGCCCCCGCTGCTGCTAGGCCTGCGCCGACTGGAGTGCACAGCTCTCTCTCTCTCTCTCTCTCTCTGGGCTGCGAGAAGCGTGAGTGAAGCCCGAGTCTCCTTTAAGTTTCGGGGTGTGCCGCATCTTGATCACCACAATCCGCCAGCTTTTTCCAGTGAGGGGTCCCCCTGTCAGACCGTGACATTTCCGCACCCGCGGCTTCTGGCCCTCGCGCCTGTCGCGGCACCTCACCAGCTCGCGGGGGGAAGGAGGGGGAGGAGGAGGAGGAGG